TTATTATTATTATTATTATTATTATTATTATTATTATTATTATTTTCTAAAACTGTAATCTTGTAAAAGTTATAGTGCACGATGAAAAAATCCGTCAATCATACATTTCAAAATAATCCTCCTTGCATTATCCTGATTAATTGTCTTACTTTTCCGTTTTATAATAAATTATAACAAATAGATTTTGCCGCAAAATAACTTTGCTTTTTCCGAGTTTTGTCGTTTTTTACATATTTTTCTAGATACTTTTGTAAAATTTCAGGATAAACAATTGCACACAGCTGATGTAATAGTAATTTTACAAAAATTTGGAAGCACTTTTATAATTGCCTTCTTTATGTCCGGTATTCCAATCTATCGTTCGTGTTTTGAATTTCCACATCATACAAATAAACACACACATCACATCACATCGTCATGAAACAGTTCGCTATACCATACGATAAAATAAACAAATTCGTCGTCAGGCTGTCCCTAATACTTCATTTGCTCTCGCGTATGAAAGCCTTGTTTTCCATTCTTTTTCAAACTTCCCTCACTTTCTCGCATATCTTATATGCAGTATAGTTTTAACAAACGAGACACTACAGAACCAGGAAGAATCACTTTTAACAGTGGCCTATTCTGTAATTCTTAACGACAGTTTCGTTATCGTTATATTCTCGTTGCGCAGCTTTTTTACTATATATAATATCTGCGCAACGCAAATATAACGATAACGAAACTGTCATTAAGAATTACAGAATAGGCCCACACAAGATTCGTCTTATGTACTTATAGTTATAGTTTATACGACCAATAGTTGCCTTTTTTTCTCCGGAGTTCCTTACGCGCGTTACTCGGTGCGTCAATGGTCACTGTGACAATTATGCGCGTGTGAGAATGGTTGTATAGATTAAAGCACCAACCATGGAAGAATCATCGTCTCGTCGACGTTTTCGTTGGTTATGTAAAGCGTATCAGCTTCAAAACGCCGTCGTCAACGCAAATATTGAGCAAAGTGACGCTTAATGTTGCAACGATGTAAGAAGAGAAAACAGAAAGGGACAAAGAATCACCGAAAAAACAAAGAGATCCACTCGCCTGAACAGTTTCACGTTTGAGGAGCCGTGGTAGCAACTGCTTGCCGTCAGCTGATCTCGGCTGTTGGCTGGCTGGCTGGCTAGGCGACCCAAGTCCAATGACGAGAGGTTGTGTGGGGGTGAAAGGCGGTTGGCGATGAGGATAGCGAGATGGAAGGGAAGAATTTCCCACGAGATGGTAGAGGAGAGAAGAGAGGGAGTTAGACGTGACGGAGTGAGACAGAAACGAGTTGACCGCATGAAAGGACGCGAGAGTGAGATCTCGATAAAACAGGGGAACGAGGCGGAAGGGGAATTACCGTGGAACAGTGACGGGGGAGGGACGCGGATACTGCGAGGGCGAGTGTAACGTACGGGAGGAAAGATAATGTCGGCGTAGTGGGGTGTCCCGTAGAGCGACGACAGGGGTGTATTTGACGAAGGTGCTGGATATGGATCCGCGCGGTCGATACGTTCCGTTAAAATAATGATTTTTTCCTCCAGAAATGCCGATTCTAATTGTTTTTAGATTCGAAACAATAAGAAGTATCTTCTCATCTTATTTAATCGTCATCTGCGTTATTTCATCTTGATTTAGAATTTGACGACAAAGTTGTATTTTACATTTATATCTAATATGCATACGTTTCTTATATTTCTGACATGATAATTTTGCTAAATATTTCAACAGTTTTCAAATTTTTCTAACAAATTCTTTCAAATTATTTTGATAATATCTCGTATATGTTGAGCGTTGAATTATAAATTTGTTCGAGAAGTTGCTGCGAATTTATTTTGTAATGTAATTAATTACTTTCACAGAAAGTTTTAATCTCATTTCTCCTCTTCTTTTCTCACAAATTTTGCAATTATTGTGTTCGTGTATTGCAAAAAACATTTTTATTGTTTATTTTTAGATAAAAGTCGGAAATCAATGTTCAATATTATTTGTAATATTCTTATACAAATTCTTATATCTTTCTAAAAATAACAAGTTTTAAGTTTTAAAATTTAAAATAAATTATAGCTCTTTCATATGTTTTCTTAACGTCCTTGGATTCTTAAAATCACGTTAAACTTGTAAATATTCCTTTTTACCTCTTGGCCTGATGTCTTCCCTTTGCATTTTTAATTTTCCCGTAAATTCCACTGATTGTTATATTTATCACATACCTTTCTTACATTCGGATGTGTGGAGCTTTCGATTTTGCAAGATATGGTCGTTATCAATGAACAGATTTATTATTGGAGCACATATCCTAAGCCGACCTAAGCAAACAATTAAGTACGAAAGAAATTTCAAATCTCTTTTGTAGATAACTTTCATTAAAATTATTTCTACGAATTCTATTGCGATTATAACACATGTAATATGAAGTTGACACAATATGATATATGTTTCTCTTTTATGTTAATTATAAAACAACTATATCGCATTTCACAAATGTGTTAAAATCATAAAAATAAAACAAGAATGTATTTATTTCTATTAATAGAATTATATGGATATATAATTAATATCCTATTTTAAAATTGTTACTAACAAATATGACTCTCTATCATTTTTATTGTTTCTGTCTTTTGTTACATAATTCTCAATATTTAAGAAAAATTTCAATTTATTAAATAAATAATATGTTTTTGTTATCATTGTGCATAATCTTTCACAGTGTAGGTACACGTAATATTCTTGTAACCAATAATAGAGAATGACTCACTCACTCTGAGAATCATTGTTTTTCTTTCGGAACTAAACTGTTATGAGAACATCTCGCATTTGTACAATGCAAGATCCACATACACATACAAGCAGATTGATAAAACTTGAAATTTGGAATGAGTAGTTTAAATATTTGGGTGTTCTTTTTTTAATACGCGATCCTTAATCTTCTTATGAATCTTCACAATTTCTCAAAGTCTTGTATGCAAGTTGTTAGACTTGATCGTTTACGTTCTCCAAGATTCTAATCAATATATATTCTATTAATATATGTAGAAAGGTAATGGATTTCAAATATCGTCTTAAATTGATATTGTCTTCGCATTGTATGGTTCTACGGTTCTCAGGGCCCGAAGACCACTTGCTTTGCAGATACAGTGTTCAGTCCTGATGGCAACGTAGTTGATCGAAGGTGGGAATTCGCTCAGCTGGTCGAACAGCTGCCCGTTCCTTTTAGATGGCTGACTGCTCGTTTCGGTTTCTCCCACTCGTCGATTATACAGTCATGTTATTGCAGTCGTTATTGTTGATTTTTTAAATGCCCGACGAAGGCACGGACTCTCGCCGGGTCAAGTGTGTTCTCCCACCGGCCGGCCGTCTTCAAGTGCGATCCCACGATCAACGCATCCGCCGCGTCCGCGTAATTGTCCACGTTGTCCAACGTCACGCCTGAGCCGATCAACACCGGCAGCCTCGCTGCGACGCACTCCCGTACTTCTACAAGATGTAATATGGTTTATTCTCATATTTCCGCATATAGTGTCGCGTGTGAATTTAAATCTTCTCACATCGCGTTGTAAACTCAATTTTGTTCTCAATTTTTTTCTCGCATTACGCAGGGCTAATAAAATGTACAATATATATCTGTAGCTAGTGATATCAGGGGTGTTATTACACGTTTTTTCGCGAGCCCTATTCAGCCCTAGTCAGGTAACAGGAAGGGGGGGAGGCAAGTTAAATTTAAACGAAAGTTTAAAGTGAAAGGTTAATTAAGTAAAATTGAACAAACAATAAATAAAAACAATTATAATTTATTTCTTATAAGAAATGGCGAATGTTTGCATTCTTAAGTTATGTCTGCTAATAAAAATATAATAAATACATCAATATCTAAATCTTCGATCACGTACATCGCGGTATAGATAATACTAGTTTAGTTTAGATACACCGACCGTTTGGTACGCGTACCAAGTACTATATTTATATCAAATCCGTATCAAATCTCGGTTTACACATAACCCGAGATTTATTACGGATCATCGACATATAGTATGGACTGCGCGATCCTTACAAAAGCCTTCAAAAAGTGTCCGGAGAATTAGACAAAGAGGGAACGAGGTAGAGGTCAATTGTTCTCTTTTTCTAATGCTTCTATTGATCGCTTTTATCCCCACTCAGAGGATGTACGGAACGTATTGTAAAGACAATGAACCCGTTTCTTTGTTTTATAAAGAGTGTGTTTATCGTCAATCAACGTCATATGTACATTAATTCTGAAAAAAATATTCTTTAAGTATGGTGTTCACGTGTTTCATCTGCAAAAAGAGATCAAACAAATCGCAAGATTTGTCGTTTCATCGGTGAGTAATAATTACAAATACTATTAGATTATTAGATTAAACAATTATTGGATTGGGTTATGTATCACGCATGTGACACTTTTGTGAATTTTGGGTTATTTTTTGATTGTAAATTTCCGTCAAACTCTATCGATCGATAACAATGGCTAGATATTATCGGAAAATCGGAAGAAGTCCCAGGAAAAGCAACAACCATTTGTTCGAGACATTTTGACACTGAATGTTTTTGTTATGGACTAGTCGAAGGAAGAAGGTTTCTGAAACCAGGGAGTAAACTAACTATAAATCTTGGAGTGCTCCAATAAATATTCCGAACACGACAGAATTTTCTTCCATACAAACCAGTAATATCTCAACCAATGAACCAACATTGCGATCAAGTATTGAAAAGTTGGCCACATCAAATAAGTAAGTATATTATGTTTTTTATTTTAAGTTTTTATATATTTTTGTTTATGTAGTATTAGAGTTAAATAATATATAATTTTGTAAATATGTATGTATAATGTTTTATAGGCGGAAACAAGAACCACCACTGGCTGAAATTATTGCTAAAAAAAAGATTCGACTAACTGATCTCACATGGGAAGAACTTTTTGAGTCATCAATGCGAGAAAAAGCTTATCTCGCGGTGGACACAACAACAACTCGACCGCCGAGCAGTTTGAGTCTGCATTCAAGTGGTTATTGGTTTATGCGCAAATCAAAGGCTCAGATAAATGCAAATTGTCTACTTCAAGATAGCACTTGTTTATTACAAACTCTCAAAGTTCTTGATAAGCCGGCTCCTAAAACTCATGATAATGATATTGTTGACATGCATAAAATCAGTAAAACTCTTAGGGTTTCTTCAAGCACTTCTTTGGATCATGACTATTATATACCCTTAGTATTTATAAATGTTAATAAAACGTATTAATCACATTATCGCGTACATAGCAGGTTTTATAGCTAAGAGTCTAAGTAAGTCTGTTAAATGTGTAATGCGAATTGCGGATGTTAAATGTGGATTGCGTAAAATTGCTCAAGTCTGAAAAATGTTTCTCCGCACAGACTAAGAAATGTCAAGGTAGATTAATGAAAGCTTCGGCTGATTTAATACAAACATGTCTAATAGCAGAAGAACGTTTTAGAACGCACAACGTTTTTCAAACCAAAAACATTTTCAACGTCTTGATAACAAGTACTCTTGAATATATTCCACCCACTGTGTTTGAGAATAAGGGAAACTGCGGAGATGATCACCGTTTAAAACTACTTGTTCAAATTATAAAAAAGTTTTTTAAAGTTCGATTACACCACGAAGGAACATCCAACTTAGAACAACGAGAGCAGCTTAGAATAAGATCAAAATGTAACAAAACTGTTTTATTTAAAAATCAATAAAACTTCTCGAAATTAAATGTAACATTTTTGTTATTTTTATATAGTATATAATATAATGTTTATATTGACTTGTAACATGTGTTATGTGAAATGGTTATAATGCAAAATATATTACAATATTTGACAAAAAATGTGCAAAATTTTTTTTCATGAAAACAGCTTTCTCTATGAGGAAGCAAAAGGTTATGCACAGAAATTCTTGTGTATTACTATTTATTTGATTGTATTACTATATATCCGCGTATTATACTATTTTCCGAAATTGTATAAAACAGTATCCAAATGCTCTTTAAAGTATATAAATAATGAGAATAATCGTTAATGGAACAAATATAACACTGAATCAAATCGTAACGCAAAAAATTAAAAAAAATGTAAAATAAATTGTTGACCCTTGGGTGCAAACGCCCGTTACCACGCTACTGAGTAGAAAAAGACAGAACTTGACCTCTACCGGTCGCTATCTCTTTCTTTCCGACCGGTCACATTTTTCTATACCTTCGCGCAGTCCATACTATATGTCGATGATACGGACAGAGAGAAACCTGAGAGCGGCCATCCCGCTTCGGGGGACGCCTGTCCTAATCTGCCCTCTGAGAAAGTGGACGTTAACTACGGCGTTACGCTCGGTAACGATCAGAGAGATCTCGGGTAACGATACATGGGTTCGTAATGTTCGTATCCGTGCTATGGTTCGTGTCCGAACTACTCAGATGGAGGGGATGTGCTGGTCGCGCAAGCCCCTCCTCTGTCAGTGTACGCTCGGCACTCGGCAAGCTTCGTGCGGGGAGAGAAGGGCAGACATACGATCTGCTGTTTCCTTCTCTCTTGAGCTGTAGAGGCCACGCATTTCGGGTATCGCCTCTCATGTCTCACCGAGTGCCGAGTCTCGAGTTGGCAAATCGACGATGCGCTATGTTACATTTATGTTTATATTTACGAGTTTTAATTGTTATATTTATAAATATTGCAATTATATTTACAAAAAAATTGCAAATTAATAAATAAATTTTATTAAACATAAAATCGCGTATAATCATGTACTTCCGTAGTTTTTGTACCGTTAAAATTAAACATAAAATTAATTAATTAAATAAACATTTATAAACATAAAAACAAAAATTCGTAAATGGAATGTATAGAAATTCCCGTTCTGGCCAATATGTTTTTTTATCTAGAAAAAAAGTCATATTAAAAACATTAACTTTGGCATAATATATAAATTTAATATTTAAATGCATAATAATAGTAAAATATTAACTATCAAGAAAAAAAGGTAGTTTATAGTGTTCTTTTTACTCTTATTAAATTTTTCAAATCACAAGCACCAAAAGAGGGATATTGGATTAAAATAAAAACAATTTATTATACAAATAATGCACACGGTTAATGTTTCGACTATAGTTAGTCTTCTTCGGATTATTACGAAAGAAGAAGATAAATATCAAGAAACATGATAATTAATGTTCATTTAATATACTAAAACATTAAACATTAGTCTAGACTAAAACATTAAACAATTATCTAATAATATAAACAAAATAAACAATAATCTATTTAAATCACAAATATAAAAACGCCGGAATAATCGAATGAAACCATAGCAAGATAAATTTATATTTATATTGAGAAGTGGTAAAATCTCTTCCGTCAGGAAGAAAATGTAAAAAATTATTAACGGGGGTATTTTGATTTAAAAGATCTTTAAAATATATATTTTGCAGGAATTTTTTATAGGGAAACGAAGAAAGTGAATAACGTTAAACTTTGCATGTTTACTTCACCTTATTTTAAAATTTTATTTTTATTTTTTAAGTAACAGAAATGCTTTTCCTTTCTATTATATTATAGGTATTTTGGTCACTAGAAGGTATAAATGACAGACGGTGTAAATAATTCTAGCTGTTCTATAGGTATCTGAAACGCAAAAAGCTAAAATTTTCTTATTCAGAAGAAGTATGTGGCTATCGTCTGAACTAAAACTAAACCAATTTTTCTAGGCAGCCTTTTTATCAAAAATATTATTAATCAATATTAAATAAACAATTTACGGTCTAAGCTTGGATTTTATAGTAGCCTAATAATATTTTTTATATACTATATTTACATATTTTTTTCAACCTTAATAATTCCTCTTACGGTATTAAAAATCGAGATATTGAGCTTCAAAGTTTCAACTTTTAACATGGAATTCCTATTCCGAGCTATTGTAATACAGACATAATGAATTATGAAAAAAGTTTTCTCTAAATGTTTTTGAAAAACTAGTATATAATTTTTATTTTAGTATATAATTTTTAATACATAAAAATAGAAATAATATGCGATAAGTGTCAATACCCTTGCGGTACGCGTTTTCGAGAATTACTTGTGTAAAGTACGCGATTTGATGAATTTTTCGCTCGGTTCAGGAATGACAGAAGAGGAGAGGCGTCAGTTATTACTTGGCAACGCCGCATGAGTTCTCACGCGTGAAGTTAACTTCTTATTTTTTAGTTGTTATATGTAATATTTTGTATATAACATAACTTTAGTAAAATAAATTTTTCTTTTTAAGCATGAATACAAGTTGATCACGACTGGAGCCGGAGAAGGTCTTTAAAAATAGGTATTTTTCAGGAATTTTTAATTAGGTGAACGAAGAAACCGAATAACGTTCAACTTTGCATGTTCTTTTAATCTTATTTTAAGAATATATTTTTATTTTTTAAGTAAGAAAAATATTCTTCTTATCTATGTTATATCTTGATCACTAAAAGACGTAAATGAGAGATGAAGTAAATGATTCCAGCTGTTCTAATAAATATCAGAAATGTAAAAACCAAAAACTTTCTTATTCAAAATAAGTGATGGCTATCGTCTGAACTAGAATAAACATTGTTTATTAGTTTTTTCTTTTAATAAAATACTAATAAAATTTTGAAAAAAGTTATAATATTTTTAATAAAAAAAGCCGTTTTTACACACACAGAATAGAAATATTGATTTAATTCTCGTTCAGACAATAGCCACACTTCTGCAAAATAAGAAAATTTTAGCTTTTTGTGTTTCAGATACCTAGAACAGCTAGAATTATTTACACCGTCTGTCATTTATAGTGACCAGGATATAACAGAAAAGAAGAGCATTTTTGTTACTTAAATAAAAATAAAATTTTAAAATAAGGTGAAGAGAACATGCAAAGTTTAACGTTATTCACTTTCTTTATTTCCCTACAAAAAATTCCTAAAAAATATCTATTTTAAAGATATTTTAAATCAGAATACCCCTGTTAATAATTGTTTACATTCTCTTCCTGACAGAAGAGATTTTATCACCTCTCAATATAAATATAAAATTTATTTTGTCATGGTTTCATTTGATTATTCCGGCGTTTTTATATTTGAGATTCAATTAGATTATTGTTTATTTTGTTTATATTATTAGGAAATTGTTTAATGTTTTAGTCTAGTAGACTAATGTTTAATGTTTTAGTATGTTAACTTAAACATTATCATGTTTTAATATTTATCTTCTTCTTTTATATTCATAGTAATCCGTTCCGAAGAAGACTAATTATAATAAGTATGGTCGAAATGTTACCCATGTGTATTGTTTATTTAATAAAGTGTTTTTATTTTTATCCAATATCCTTTTGTTGTTGCTTGTAATTTAGCCGTAATTTGACCAAT